CACTTGTACGGAAACCATTCGTTTATAACCTCTTAACATATATAGGCCTAAAAAATTAAATTTATGAAATTGAATATTAATATACCACCTGATATTACGTTAAAATGAAGGTAAACTGTAGATAATAAACGTAATTCTATTACAATTAATAAATATTTTATTTTACGGCTTGCCTGTCAATGTTGGTCGGCCATATTGGCGCCGGACCGACCAGCTGCTTAAAAAGCCGAAACAGCGAAATGTTGGCCTCCTTTTTAAATTTGCCGCTAGTTTTGGCGCCAATATGGCGTAATTGCGGTACTTTACTTATATCAGGGGGGTGACAGTAAACCGGAAAATTGGAAACAGTTGTGGCGCGGTTCTACCCAGGCAGAAAGCATGGCCTTCTAGACTGTCCTAGACATTCTAGACAAAAATCTGAATATTTCTATATGATTTCTGTCAATTTCTGCTACGGAACATTTTTATGCACGTCGGCGTCCTGTTCTTTTGTCTTTTGTCTGTGTGTCAGCGTCAGCTCCTGAGGCCTCTGGCAAGGTCGGGCGCCATTTTAATTTTTGCCGTTTAGATTTGATTGGAAGTTTGTTTCTGATATTTCGGCTGAAATTTATAAGTACAAAGATGTTTTTTGATATAAAGTTCCTTGTTAGCACTTTTAATAAAGTATATATGATATTAATAACATGAAGAAAATGATGAAATCGACGTTTCTGCGTAGTAAGTAAGGGCCACATTATATGTAAAAATAGGTAATATATTAACTGTTTTTATATTTTTTTAAGCTTCTTTAAACCCAAGGATCTTGGGATATTCTTTTGCCAAGGATTTTTCCCGTATTCTACTTTAAAGTATTTTCATAGCAATAATGCTATAAATCTATGTATGTAGATTATTTTTAAAATACAAATGAGGTATTAGATGTATATGTATCATATTTTTATTCTTTTTATTTTCATTCAAGTCCTGTTTGATTTAATTCACAAAAGTCTTATGTACCTATATTTATGTTTTTACATATTTTTTGATTCCAGGTTTTGTGTGGGTTCCGGTTGCCTTTCTCCTGCTTCCAGTTATTTAGTTTTATGCCCGTGAAGCTGTGAAAACATTTATGTATCTTCAAGTTTCTGTAAGTCAATGCACTGTTACTTTACTAATTCACTTTAACACAGCATCTCTGATATTATTTAAATATTTGATATTGATACAGTAGTTTATTGGTTTATAGCTCTTAATTGTGTTGATTTGCATATTTACATTATTCTAAATTCCAAATAAATATTTTTGAGTAATTTGTTGTATTATTTACTACTAGAAAGAGTAAAAAGTATATTAACCCTCATTTAAACCTCCTGAACAGCCCGCCATTAAAAACCGGAAACGGAAATAAATTTTTTATTTTTGAAATTGTCATGTCTATGTCATGTCAAATGTCCCAGCCGACCATATGCTGAAAATTAGTTACCGAGGCAGCCACGCTGTTGGCCATAATTTTAACATTGCCGCTAGTTTGGCGCTTCTTATGGCGGTAATTGCGGTATTTTATGGGTTTATATATCTAGGGACTTTATTGCCGAGATCTACCACACGCTACACAACCAACTATTTTAGAGTCTTTTTCGATAAATCGCGACAGTGTCACTGTTATTTTAAGTTCTGCCACAATTTCCATCTAGATTTACTACCTTTATACAACTATCAGTAGTAGAATAAATAATAAATAAGATAAAATAAGCTCCGTAAAGACTGACAAATCCACAAAATTTCAAATCAAATTCAAATGTGTCAAATGAATCGTCAAACAGAAAACAGAACTGTCAAGGATCTCCACCCTAGAGTGCTTTTATGGTGCCTTTTCCGCCCACCATGCATGAATACATGGATAGCACAGGATAGCCATTATGCTCCTTCCTTCTTCTTATTCAAAGATCCACACCATTACCTAAGAAAACAGAAGAAATATGGCTTTAAATATAATATTCACACATCATATTATTTAGACCCCTCATACAAAGCAAAATTATTCATAATATCAATACATAGTTTATTAACGTAGTTTTCATGTAGTTAATAGGGAGTTTTCGTTGCTTTAAAAAAATTCAACGGTACGGTTAACGGATACGTAACCATAACCGCTATTTTGACAGATAAAAAAACAGTTTTCGGACTTTCGGTTCATCGGTTCGGAGCCGACATACGATACGATAACCGAAAACTGACAGCTGAGCACAGCCCGTAGCGTAGTGTTTTGATTTTTGGTTTTTGTATTGTTGTTTGATTTGGAAGTGCTTTATATGACTTTATTGGGTATCGCTATATAGGATGGACAATTTAATTTTATTGGACTCTAGTGATAAATCGGATTTGGAGGATGCTATGCTGTTGGAAGGGTTTGAAAATAACATCGAATATCGAGCAGAACTTTATGGGGAGTTCAACCTAGAAATATTATTTGACCAAGAGTGCAAAGCTAACTTCCGCTTTGAAAAAAAAAAGACATTCCTCGATTAGTTGAAGCACTAAGAATTCCCAACGAGTTTAACACAGATAAAATAAATAATCAAAACATAAACAAAATAGAATGAGGTTAGGTTAGATCTGTATTTTTCAATGTTGTGTTTCTACTGCGCTAGTGCGCATGCGTACCGCTATGTTAACGGCTTTGGATAACGTCCGTAAAATATCGGCAGCTAGCGGTTACGATATGCGATAATCGAAATTGAAATGTCAAAGTTGTCAATTAGCGTTAACCGGAATTGCAATTTGTAAGCAACGAAAACTCCCTAATGAACGGGAAAAGACGTAGTTTTTGAAGAAAAACTACACGTAGTTAATCATTACACTGAAAAACAGGTAACTACACTAGGTAAATTACGTCTTAATTAACTACTTCCGAACCCTGCTTGTCACGTTCATTAACTACATGAAAATTACTATGGAGGGCTTCTGGAGGGCTTAAAAAGTAGCGATGGGAACTATCGAATATATTAGACTCGAATGGTTACTGAATGAATGATTTCAACTATCGAATGGTTTTATTCGAATAAAATCATTCATTCATTTGTATACTAAAGCATATGTGACAACCTCGCCGTGCAACTAAATGGTTATCGTTGAGCCAGGACTATCGAATGCTTTTGATAAATGAAATTTAGTCAGAGTATTCGTTTGATTTTTGTGTGCGTCAGTGCATTATTAGTTCTTCCAAATTTTTATAACTTCACCTTATAAATACTGTGCCAATTTTGGGTTTATTAAAATATTTAAAACACTAAAATAGTAGTTTTTTTTAATCGGCGATTGTGTGCGTGTGCAGGTGTCAAAATTTTCCCGAAAATTTGTGTGATTTTCCGTAGCCCGATCTTTCAATTATTTTATTTTATATGGTATATATGGTCTATTTTTTAATGGGAAATTTTGAGAAGTAGCAATTTTTAAGAGAGATGAGATGAACTTAGAATTAATTCTAAAAATACATATTTGTATTTTAGATGTTTAAATAATATGAATTAGTTGAACTTAATAATCATATTTAAATAATATGGTTAAGTAAATGGTTATCGAACTCTAACTATGGGGTGAGAAAATTAAATTGAAAGTTGACGTGCCAATTTAAAAAAAAAGTTAACGATGTTTGTATTTTGTTTATGCTAATTCTCTTACATGTAGTTTTTTGCGAAAAAAATATTTCATTTATTTTTTAAAGTAAATGCCAGTAAAAGTAAATATTATTTTTAAATAGTAATATAAAGTACCTAATATAAATAATTTTGATTTCTAATTTTTTATTTATATTTTCCTTCCATTACACTGCATGCTTAGAAAATTAATAAATGTTTATATTTCATGATTTTAAAGTTTGTTGTTAATATAACAAATTAGTTCTGTAATTATTATTATTTAATAAACCAACGTTGCTACACAAAAAATTTAAAGACTATATTATTTTTAAATAGGATCTAATATAAATAATTTTGACATCTAATTTGTTGTTTATATTTTGCTACAATGTTTATATTAAATTATTTTAAATTTTGTTGTTAATAGGTATAACAATTTATTACTGTTATTATTATTTTTATTAAACCAGTCTTTGCTTAAAAACATTAAAAATCATTTTCCTACATCCAAAATAACAAGTATTATTGCAGTGTAACAACAGAATATTAATAAAAAAATGCAAAATATATAGACATACTATCCCCAACTAACTAAAGCCAAACAATAATATTCTTTGCTAATATCAACTAATACCAATATATGGCAACAGCGCTCTTCATAATGTATTTTCTGTGTAAATACTAGCACCTCAATAAAAAAAATAATGTGTCCTTATCTTTATATGACTCCGCAAAAAATCTAAGATGCCGGCTTCTTTCATAGCATTGCCATCGACCGCTGTCGGGTTTCTCGGAAAGAAACCTACGTCGCCGGGCGACAACTATAATCCAGTTAAGATTTTATTATAATCGATCCTTACGAATAAATGAATTTCATAAATGAATGAATTTTATAAATGAATGGGTTTTGCTGCCGAATTACTAGAATACAATATTTCAAGGCAGATGACGCATCTATTCGATAATTTTTATTCGAATAGTTTTCAACGAATGTTTTTTTACTAGCTATCGAATTATTCGAATGAATTCCAACTATCGAATGTTTCGATAGTATTCATTCGATAGTTCCCACTACTATTAAAAAGACTTTTAGGGTGCAGCCACACTATCCTAACAACGGCGTATCGGCGTAACGGCGTAATGACCTTGAATAGATTTCCAGTAATTCTATTGGCTGAAACATTCATCTGTCAGAAATTTTATCTGTCAAATTCATCTGTCAAAAATTTCAGCCAATAGAATTACTGGAAATCGATTCAAGGTCGTTACGCCGTTACGCCAATACGCCGTTTTTAGGATAGTGTGGCTGCACCCTTAGACTCCATAAAAATTACTTTGGCTACATCCATAGATAAGAAGCTCGGCGAGGTTTAATGACATTATGACATTACTGACAGCATACTGACAGTTTGGGTTATTTTTTTGACGTGATAGACAATTGACAATTGCTCTGTGGTACATGTATCAGCACGAAAATAATACACAACATAAAAACAAAAATGATGAAATAATTGAGACGTATAAAATAGTTTGAAAATATTATAAACTTAAAAATAGTTCTTCCAAGTTGATCAAATAATTAATATTAAAAGAGATACAAAATATGAGTGGATTAAACGGAAAATTGAAGTCGACAGCTGAAACGCAACTACAAAGTACGTACATAAAATATATACCTACATACTTGTTAATAATAAATATTGAAACTTACATTTTATAGTTGCTACTGGTGCACTGTTGGAATCCCTTCATGATAAAAGCACTACCGTATGTGAAACTGCATCAGTTTCATTGTTAAAATTATCAGAAAAATATCCAAACCAAGTATTATTATCGTGTGTTGCATTTTTCACTAATAATACAAAATGTGATACTGACCATATAGTTCAGATGCTTAATATTATGAATAAAATATGTATAGACCAGATTTCTGGAATTGATGGTGATACTGTTATTAAACTTATAGAATTTGGTTTAATGACCATGACCAAAAGTAACAATTATGAGCCTTTGGTACAGTTAGCAGCTTCAAAAATTTTAGTTGCGTTGGGCAGGGTGCATTATATTCAAGTAATTTGAGTGAATAAACGTTTGTATGGCGTTGTTATCTTTTAAAAATTGGCTTTATTTTATAGGTTACAGATGCTTTGTTGCAAAAATTACAAATTGGTATGGTTCCCCATTATACTGTCCCACATACGCTAGGTTCCTTAGCAAGTGTTAATGCTTATGGTGTTATTCGTTACTTAAAAGATATTTTAAACATTATTTTACCATTATTGGGAGGTTTAAAGAATGATCATCTGAAGGAGTCATTTGCCTATGGTAAGTTAAAATTAATGTATAAAGTAATAAGTGTGTATAATTGCATGATAAAATAATAAGCTATTCATATAAAGTAATTTTTTTTCTGATCATTTAAATATTGGTTAATCAACAATAGCTTTCACAGTTTCTTTCATTACATCAACAAAAAATTGTTGGTTTTTTCCCCAATAAAATTGGAATGACTTCAAAATCATGGTGTATTAAATAGGGATTGTATTACCGGTTAAATGTCCTTAAAACACATTAAAATGTTACCAGTATATCATCTTTAAATACTGGTAATTTCAGTAGTCATTAAAAAGATATACACTCTATATAAATTTTTCAGGCCTCAGAAAATACTTTTAGCTATTATTGCTATTGCTATTGTGTAAATTCAAACCAGTTTATTACAGATTCTGCTTTAAAATGGAGTATTGCTACGGTAACAAATCTGAAATCAGAGCACAACTTTAGGCTTCGAGTGTTGATGTTCTTAATATTTACAGAATCCTGATTGTAAACAATCTCATTCTAAAAGTTAAAGAATGTAAAAAGTACCAAATCCACTATAACAAAGACAAAAAAATGTCATTAATCAATGCTCTTGTAATGTTGGGTCTATTTTAATTAAAAAGTTGAATTAACCTTTCGTAGAATTATTTATATTGTGTTCAAGTTACTATTGATGTATAATTGTTATTATAATTTTGTTCTTACATTTTAGCACTACAAAATTTTTGTGAAGCATTACTGGAATATGGGTCAAACTTGGAACAAGTTCCAGATCCAACAATCAGTACAGAAACATATACAACTGAGCTGGGCATGGCATATGATGTGCTATTTACATCATGGTTGCAATCAAGAGAACCAACTGTTGTTGAGTCAGTTTTAGAAGCTTTATCAGCTATCTTTCGAGCTTTACCAATAGACAAAGTTACTCAACAAACTCCTCGTTTAATTCCATTTCTGTTAAACCACATAAAGAAAAATTCAAATGCATATGTTGTAACAAAATGTTTATATTCCGCAATAGAAAAAACAGCTGGCGTCAATGGAATGCTTTTGGAACCACTGTTGTCAAATATTTTAAGTCATTTATCTGACTTAGTATGTGTATCTCCAGATTATGCACAACCTGATTTACTTAGAAGTCACTCGGAGGTCCTTAGATGTTATGAATGTTTGGCTCTGCATTTTACCGATATAACTATAGATAAGCTTTTAGGACATTTAAAGAATAACAATGAAAAGGAGAAACTTAAAGGGCTGATTGTCATTGCTCATTTAATAAGTTATAGTTCAGAACAAGCGATACAAAGAAGATATAGAGATATATTAAAATATATTAACGAGCTGTTATCAGATTCTCATATTAAAATTAAAACAATTTTAGTAAAAATTATAACTGGTCTCGCTCATAAAGGAATCTTAACTGAGATAGGTAAGTAAGAAAATTGGAGATACTGTATGATTATGTACTTTAGATGTAAGATCTATCTTTACTCTTAACATTAAGCCTAAGCATTTGAAATGTTGGCACTGTCGGCCAAATGCCGATGATGTTGGTTGTTAAATGTCTACATTCATGCAGATGAAAGGTAGCAAAATTATATTTGATTTCATTGTTTTGTAATGATTTCCTCTATTGTCTAGACTGTATAGTCCAGTGTGTTTCTACTTATACAGGGTTGTTCACCACATACAACACGGAGTATTGTAGCTAAGCGATTAGATTTTTACAAATTGTAAGTTTTGGGTTCGTTGAAGGACTATTAGAGCTATAATTTAAAAATATTTTTACAATATACAGAGTGTCCCAAATAAGTAAAAAATATCAAAGTTGTATTTTTTAAATGGAACAACCTGTATATTATTACATTTTTAGTTTCTACGATCAAAATAAAGCTAAATTTGATTAAGGTTTATCACCCTTAACCGTTTTTGAAATAATTTCAGTTTTGTGAAATTGCAGTAAAAATTACTTAAGAAAACAGACTTAATTTCTCCAAGGGTATTAGAGTTTTTAATACTAATTTTTTACTGAAGTTTATTTATTGATCAATTATTGTGTTGCAATAATAAAAATAATACTACCTCATACAGAGTGTCTATAAATTTATTTTAAATAATTTCGCGCTTTAAACGGCAATAACTTGTTTAATTTAAATGGACCACCCTGTATATTTTAGGAGAATCAGATGCACGATTTAATTGTCTATCAAATTGTATTATAGCATTTTTTATTATTATGGTCATGTTTTCGTAGAAAATGCCTTTTCTTATAATTTAGATCTCATTTGTTACCCATGGAATATTGGCATTTTAGATCGTTTTTAAAGCAACAAATGTACAAAATGTACAGGTGCTAAAAACAATAATATTACTAGCCCATTTGTATGCAAAAAGAAAACTATTTAAATCTTTATAAAAGAGTATACCATTAATTAAATATACCACCATTATTCCCGCCCAATTTTTTAATGTGTTACTTTTTACCACACTGTCTAATACTCATAAAAAATAGTTTTTTTGGTATTTAGAGCAAACAGTCAACCAATTAATGTAGTTTGAATACTGGAATCATATTAATTGGTCCTCTTTAACAAATATTTAAACAGTTTTTTTTATTTTTTAATGAAATAAACGAATTATATCGACAACATTAGTATCTGTACTCTTTAAAAATTTGGTACATTTTTAAAAATAATCTAAAATGTCAATATTCCATGGGTATATTGATAAATAAGTTCTAAATTACAAGAAAATGCATTTTCTACGAAAACTTGAAGGGATAGGGAAAAAATGGTATTATACAATTTGATAGACAATTAAATTGTGCCTCTGATTGTCATAAAATATACAGGGTGTTCTATTTAAATTAAACAAGTTATTGCCGTTTAAAGCTAATAATTATTTAAAATACATTTTTAGACACTCTGTATAAGGTACTATTTTTATTATTGCAACGCAATAACTGATTAATAAATAAACTTCAGTGATTATTTAGTATTAAAAACTTTGATACCCTTGGAGAAATGAAGCCTTGAAATTTTTGCTTCAATTTCACAAAATTGAAAATATTTCAAAAACGGTAAGGTTCAACTGTAATAAACCTTAATCAAATTTACCTCTATTTTAATCGTAGAAACTAAAAATGTAATAATATACAGAGTGTTCCATTTAAAAAAATACAACTTTGATATTTTTTATTTATTTGGGACACTCTGTATCTTGTAAAATTATTTTTAAATTGTACCTCAATAGTCTTTCATCGAACTCAAAACTTACAATTTGTAAAAATCTCATCGTTTAGCTCCAATACTCCGTGTCGTACCTATGTGGTGAACAACCCTGTATAGAAATAATGCACCCGATATTTCTTAATCAACCATATTGATTCTCAGGTAATAAACATTATTACAAATTACAATAATAACACGCTGGTTTCTATATAAAGACAAAAACCGCCACTTTTTATATCATCTTGTCAGTAAACTACCCAATACAAGTGTATAATAAGGACTGGCAAAGGTTAGTCTTGGGTCGAGATTTCCGTATGTAAGAAGAGTACAATGCGTTTATAATGTACTGAACAAAGAGAGGACAGTAAACACGTTGTCAAACGTATGAAATAAACCGAGAAACTGTGCACATCGTTAAGAGACGTGGAAGGGGATATAGCAGATTCGTCGCGGTTGACCGGTCGACCCAATCAATACCTCTGTCAGTACTTAAAGTTCTAGGGAAAGGTGTACGTCATGCGTTTAGCTTCACGATTTAATTACGTCTCGTGATACTTGATTTGTTTATTTATTAACGAGTCGTTGTAATTTTCCCTATGGCTTGAAGTTTTTTAAGTGCAAGCTAGAAACACTTGCATTTTTGGTAAAAATAAGTGGAATTGAATGGGTGTTCGATAGTGGTCGCGCTATTAGAACTCTGAATTCAAAAATCGATATCTCGAAATCTATCAGAAATAATAGATTGTAGTTTTTTCAAGAACTTTGTTAATATTTCTGGTGTATTTTCTTTGTAGACAGTATGTGAAAATCTTTATCAATAAAAAAATTACACGATTGCTGAAAATTGCTATGCTCTAAAAGTAAATGGATGGATTGTTTACAATTTTTGAATGGAAAAAACAACCTTATCGAATTTTTCTTATGTAAACATATCCGATCTTGAAAATAAAAAAAAGTTTCAATATCTAAAGTGGTTCTTGAGTTATGGCCTGTTATGTGTTAAAAAGTTGAGTTGTTAAATTATCGCGATTACTGACGTTTACTCGTTATAAAAAAAATGACACCCTAACGATATCCTTATAATTCCATTTCAGATGCTCAGAAACATGTCTAATGATTTTATCTAGTTATCTCTTGAAAAAATAGTTTTTTAAAATAAGCGATTTGCGATCGTGATTTTACTTTTCTTGATAGGGAAAGGCGTATCGGCAACGCCGCACAGTGGAAAGGCCCAATATAAAATGTTGGACATTGACTTAAAAATAAAATTTTAAATTAAATAATTTTGGTAGAAAATTTTAATTACTTAAAGTCCAGATCGTTATATTTGATCTAACTCAAAAAAAATATTTTTAATTATATGTCTGTTTGAAAAGTTTGAAATGAAGATATTACACTGACTTAATTATGGTATTCATTTCTTGTGAAACAACCTAGTTTTATAAAAAGTGGCAAAGACATTAATAATTTTTTTTAACAATACATATTAATGCAAACGATTGTTTTCACTTTAAAATAAAAGATATATATATATAGTAAAAAAGTTTGGGAAAACAAATGTATATAAAAGACAAATAAACATTGTTTTGCTACTAAATACTATATTTAGTAGCAAAAAAATGTGTATGTAGAAAAATAAAAAAATGGCCAAAGTTGGCCAAGACTTTATATATGTCACAAGGTAGATTAAGCCTTTCTAATAATGAAACTAATTTAACATCTTGCCCCAGCTTGCCCCCCTCTAAAAATTTCCATTTAATACATTACTAATACATACTATACTAAATTCGTCAAATTATCTTTATTTTTTTATAAATTTATTAATATTTAATTATTATTTGGATAAATACTAAATAACGCTTAAATCAAAAACAGATACAGGGTGCTACAAATATATGGAAAACTTATAACCTATTGGAAAAATAAAGAGGGTTAAAGTGCAGTATTGACCTTTTTTGTTTGTTATAAAAATATTCCAGTGCGTTGATTTACTGTTATATTCTTTGCTTATAATAAAGTTATTGTACAGGGTGTCCCACTAAGAATAGCTCTAGGCTATATCTCGGAAAGTATTAGCCGTGAGGCCTACGGAAAAAAATATTCATAACTAAAGAGGACATGAGAAATTGCTGGAAATTATTTTCAAGTTTGTAGAATGGCCGCTAGAGGGCGCAACTGCTCTACAAAAATAAGAAAATGGAGTTTTTACACAATTTTGCCTAGATAAGGGGTAAGGGGTACTATAAATAATAGCTTTAGAATCTTCAGTAAATTCTGAATATTTTTTGTTAGAACCATTTTCCCCTATCTGCCAAAATAAAGTGGTGGGGGAGGGTTAGATCTGTTTTTATTTAAATATTAATAACTCCGGACTGGATGGACGGAATCCAACTAACGGGGGCTCGTTTAAAAGAGCGTTTTTTACTCTATATTATACCATATAAACAATTATATTAAGCTTTTGAACGTAGACGCTAGGGGGCGCTGTCTTACAATTTAACAAACATTGCGCGTTTTTTCAAAAAAATTAAATGCGATGGTATATGTAATTTTAGCTGACAGTAAAGAGTAATGAAAGCTTAAAAAGTCAGTGAAAACCTCATCTTGATATCTTCTTTCAAACCGAAGATATTAGCAAAATTATATTAAATAGGAAAATATGAGCCCTTAATTACCATAATTTTATAACACGGTATCAGTAGTCCTAGATTTCAGTGGTAAAATCTAAAGCTATTTCTTTTTAAAATGATCAAAACTAAAACATTCCACGACAGTTTGGCAAACTTTATAAGCATTTAAAAATTCTAAGATTTTTCTAAAACATACTATATTTTTAGATCATCCTGTAGATGGTTTGTAATGAGTCAACCACTTTCTTTCATTAAAATTTAAAATTGTTCTGTTTATACATTATTACGGTATATAAAACTATTTTTTTCGTCTTTTGGATTAAAAGTGTTGAGAAGAAAACCTCATGTCCAACCGCTCCCATAAGCTCGTTCCACTGTGCGCCGCAACAGCACACAGGAGAGGAAATGGGTAAAATAAAATGTTTTCAAGCGAAAATTGGACAAATTTAGAATGAAAAAAAAGTGATTAAGTTTTTCTAATTTTCTTCTGATTTTTTTGGGGAGGCATTGGCCATTTGACCTCATGGTTAAACCGCTACTGCTTGTATGACTATCCTTGTATGTATATA